TGCAGAACGTTTCGTCAACGTTGTGGGTTTCGTCGGGGAGAAAACTTGCAACCGTACAGCACTTCAGAATCACACTGCTAGAGATTGAACATGTATTTAAATTTGGCAGCTGAACACATACTGTACTGTACTGTTCAGGAGACAGGAGTCCCTTGGCCAGTCAGGACGCAGCGGGAGGAACGCAATACGCATTCATACAATGTAAAAAAAAAAAAAAAAAGGCATGCAAAATTGCACACAAAAAAAAAAAAAAAAAAAAAAAAATCTGCGAAACAGCGAGACCGCGAAAAGTGAACTGCGATAGAGGGAGGGACGAGTGTAAACCAGGTCTAAACCAGAACTGACCCAGGTCTAAACCAGGTCTAAACAGCGTGGAGTTCCTGAAGGTCTATGAGGGCGCATCTCCGGCGTTTCACCGCTGCTGATATCGAGGTGATTTTAGCGAATTTGTATGAAGAAAAACCCACCACTTCAATCCAGGTAAAAAAAACAACAACATTGTAACGCGTGTTACTCACATTTGTACCGAGTAAAATATTACAATTTTTTCCCCTGTAATGCCTTACATTCCTGCGTTACAGCAAAAAGTAATGCATTACTGTAATTCGTTACTTTTATAACGCGTTACTCCCAACACTGATAAGATGTAACCCAAATATAACACAATAAATGACAACCTGGAATTACATATAACCCAAAAGTAACACAGTATACTATAAAAACGAGTAATAACGTCATTGATGTAATCCAAAGAAACAGCCTGTAATAACATTGTACTTAATCAAGGGTAGACTGAAAAACAAACAAATATTTTTTTTTTTTTTGTTTTTGTTTGAGTAGTGTACCTAATAGAGTAACACAGACCAGCTCCAAAATGTTTTGGTTAGTTGTCATTTAATCCACCCATGCATTAGCCAAGAACGTGACATTTCTGCCCCAACCCAGTGCTAACTAGCAGCATGGTTTACCTTGACAGCACTTAGCCTAGCACATGTACCTTCACCAGCACAGGCTTGTGACAGTCGCTAACATATACTCTGTGCTGTTTCATAGATGACTAATATATTTGTTACAGAGCAACTTAAGACTTATAAATAATCTACAAATGTATGTTAATGTTATGCAAATAATTGATTCACCATTAGCTGAGCTTATGAATAATTAAATCTGGAATATGATTATGGTGATAACACAGTGTGGGGAATACTTCAAAAATATTCTATATAAAGTTGACGGATTGGGCTATAAATATGGACAGGGAGTCGGCCATTTTAATATGTAGTTATGGTAGGACCTGTGCTGTGTCCTATAGATAAGTGAGCTGCTTAGTAAGTAAATCTTGACATCTGCTGCAGTGTGGTCGGTAACTGTCACACGTACACTGTGAGCTAAAGGAGAGAGAGAAAGAGAGAAAAAAAAAACAATGTGTGAGTCCCACTCTGTTTCCAATTTAGAGCGACATCTCTCCACAGGTCTGGGGTTGTGAGAGAAGAGGACACCATGCAACCCTATGCAATCTGCAGGAGAGGGCCTGCAGTGAGCCCTGTAATTGAGTTACCAGGAGAACGGCTATAATGTTTCATTACAGAGACAGTGCCATTTACTGGATGCAGCCAGCCTCTACGGACAATATTTACAGGTTAAAGTGAAACAAACAAGACAACCTCATCATACAATACCACCGGGCTTTTCATTAATGCTCATTTGGAGGTTGCATATTAAATAAGCACGGGAATATGTGGAATGAAGCCGAGAGTCAATGCCAAAGTAAGTTGAGAGACCAGTAAATGGCAGCAGGAGTCAGAGTACTAGCGGGCAGTGCTGCGAGTGGTCACTCAAGCGTGGGATTAAAAAGCATTTAAGCCTTGTACCAGACCCCCCCTCGTCCCGCCATGTTATTCCTGACCAATTCAGCGAAGAAAAAAAAGACAGGAGCGTGAGGTGCCTGGGTTGTTACTACCTCTGCAAAACTGAATGTTACAGGTTTTTCTGCACGCCAGCATCCATAAATGTAGTGCAGTGCTTTCTTGCAGAAAAACATAATGAGCTGAACCTAAAAGGGTTTCTGTGTTCTGGTTAAGGTGCAAAATGGACTGTCACTACTATTTATTTCGTTCATGTCCTGGATGTAATGGAAAACATGCAATCAAATGTAGGACAGGGTTAGTGGAGTGGTTCACTTCACACTGCTATTCACACTTCTAATGCCTCCTGGGCAACAACGCGCAAATTTATGACAAGCTATTGACATATTTATGGGGAGTGCTGGGGAGTGCGCAGCCTTGATTAGCACACCAAATAAATCAGTGCCTCTTGAATGCATTGTGCTGGGGCCAAGAGGATATACATAGAGCTTTTGATTCAGTGCTCACCTGGGCTCTCACACTGCTGCTTGTTTTGATGGGGCATGATGAAAGCACAGGTGGATGTGAGCTCTCCTCGCCCTGGGCTGCCGTGGGCTCAGCCTGTGCTGCACTATTAGCGCTGGAGTGGAGGTTAGCACAGAGTCTGCTGGGCGCAGTGGGTCAGTGCTCACAAAGCTCTGTTTGTTCCCCGGCCTGCGAGGCTCCCAGGGTGAGCCTTGCCCAAAGCGGACACAAACAAAAAGGCACCACTGTCTCACACACCCAAGCCGCCCTCAACACATTACTTTTCTTATTCTCCGTGGGGCTACATTTCTCTTCTTAGAAGAGGAATGGCTAAAGGAAACACGTTTCTAAAAACAGGGCCTCAGGATAACAAAATGCCTGTTGTTCAGAGACATTTTTTGTTTAAATGCCATTCTGAGTTGTTGCTTGTGCTGTAGTGTTCTCCCCTTTTCACTTTGTGTGTTTCATGTCCTTTTGTCTTGCTCAGTCTTGGAGCTTTTTGTCGTGTGCGGCTGCATCAACATATTCTTAAAGTGCCGACAGCAACAGGCACATATCATGTCACATTCAGATCTGCAGTAGCACGCGTCACACATTATGCTCGAGCCAATGCAAATCAGACTCCAAAATAAACGCCTGGGCTTCATTAATAATTCTCTGGTGTTCTTGTGTTGGCGCTGTCAGCTGGTGACTTTTAGAGATGAAATAATGTGGAGGATAGTGGTGGAGCCGCTGTCAGGTCACACAGTCGGTGTTGTGCTGCAATCTGCACTCCAAGTATAACTCCATTATTGAGGGGACTTTAAAATGGGAGCCGTGTGACACACAGCAGGATGATTTAGTTTAATGACCATAGCAGTGACAGCGCTGTGATGGAAATTGGACTCCCCCTGCAAATTTACATCACTTGAGGGTACTTGGGGCTCTTTTAGCGGCTGCACTCCAGAGCACGAGCCATCAGGAGGTCCTGGATATGTCATGCTTGTCACCTTCCTTTAAGTGCATGTGCAGACGTGGGAGAGGGATTAATATTATATAGCCTACGGTAGCACAGAGGCCGTCTTATCAGCGGTGCAGATGTGATAAGCACCTCTACCCCCACCAAAACCAGCGACCATCTCTGAACACGGAGACAAGCATCTCTTTGTGTTGTGTTTCCCTCTCACTGCTCTGGTTCAATGAGACTTTAGCCGCACATTCGCTGCACTTTCACATCTGTTGTAATTTCATGAGCCCGAATCACCCTCTGTGAAATCGTCTTGATCACAACATGCTCCCTTTAATTATTTAGAAACTTGGCACATGTCTTTAGCGATAGTCATCTGAATCCTTTTGATTTCGCTACATTCAGGACCCCTTCACAAGCTGCTTGGATCAGTAGAAAAGCAGATTTCTATGGTGTTTTTGTTGCCTCTACAAATATACTAGATTTTGCCTTATAGGAAAATGTTTATTTATTTAATAAAACGTCACTTTCTGTGGGATGTTTTCCATCACTGCCATGACACTCATCTCGCATTAGTTCACATCAATGCAGATGTCAGTGTGCACAAATTGCATTGCCCTCAGACTGATTCGGAGCTGTGAATGGAAGTTATGGCAACCATCGCTGTCACTTCAGTTTGATCAGAAAAGCACCCAGTGGAACCATGGAAACAACATGTGACACAAAAACATCTACATCAAAGCCCGTATGTACTGTAATTAGATTTTATTGAAGCCAGTTCAGGCAGAAAAGGTGCCGGCTCCAGCACATTGGATCTCCTCCATACTTTTCACAGTACAGTGCATTAAGCCTCTGTATTACATGAAGCAAATATAGTACTGTATATAGCACAGTGATAAATCTGCTACGGCAAAGAGGTATTTGGCATTTATGTACTCTAATCTGACTATGCAGAAGGAGTTGTACACGTCTGGGAGGGAAAGGAAGTGGAAAGCTCTTAGTAATTCATTCAGCCCAATATGCACTTCATTCAAAATGCACCTGTGTCCCCTATGCAGCTATCTATGCAGCTCTTTTAATACAAATTCAGATATGTAGTATTTTAGAATGTACAGATCAAATGTTCTTCTGTACCTGATTTGCAAAATAGGACAGAAATAAAAAGTTGTTCCATAATAAAAATTGGATGGTACAGTTGTAATATACAAACAATCAGAGAAAATGTTGCACAGTTTTGGTCAGTAAATGAGGAGTATGGGTTACAGACCTACTTTGGTGCTAATAAATTGGTTGGATTCTGTCTTGGGATTCTTGCTTTGAAATAAATGAAAGATTCTAATTAGTGCACACAGCACTGTGCACATCAGCAAAGAATGTTATGAAAAAAATAGCAAAGATGGCCAAAGTCATTTCAGCTTAAAACAAAAAATACAGATATGTTGAGATCAGGATAATAATAATATTCTATGATAACATTAATCTTCAGATATGATATACACGTCCATATTTCAGTTACACAGTACCATTATGACGTTACATTGCCAGTACATTGGCTTGATGATAAAATTGATAAAAACATTTTCCATAATTGTATTGTGCACTACAGCCTGATTTGCCTCACAAACATCTATATTTTGCAGGCTGACAGAGATATAAAATAATAATAGAGTATTGATTGACTGGATCTACACCAGGCCCAGGATTCGTGCCACCCACCAGCGGCACGGCATGATCACGCGGCATGCCACCCGACAGCCCCTGTGGTGGTAGGGCCAGGGCCAGTGTCCATAGAGCGGCTCACAGATCCTCTGACAGTGGGTGTAGCCTCTTTGGCATTCGGCGCAGCAGATCCCCCTGTGGTCCAGCATGGGGTCAAAGGTCATAGCGCCGTCCTCGCTGGCCCCTCCGCTCTGAGTCTGCTGGAGACACACACATGTGATGATAGACAGACCCCCCTCGCCCGTTGTGGCATTGTTGTGGGAGATAAAGTGTGACACCTGCTGCTCTCTGATATGTTTACATTACACATGATTTATGAGTCAGCTACACTGGGCCTGGGGCAGGTTGCACTCAGGACAGGACAATGCAGAAACTGGACAATGGACACTCAAAAAAACACTATTCAAGCTTGCACATACATATCAGCAATTCAGAAACATTCTCTGTTCAGTATGGAAAAATTGTATGTCCAATCTACACTCTGTAAACGTCAAAAAAAGCAAATAACACCACTGGCTTTGTGCTAATGCAAACACAGCACAGTGGCTGAGTGGAAAGCACACAAGAAGAAGATTACGAGTTTGATTCTCGGGTCGCCTTGTGAGGAGTTTACATGTCTCCCTCATCAACCCAAAACATGCACAATAGGTCAAGTCCTCCAGCTGGTCAAACCAAGCACATGATGATGGAGATAGGTCCCCAGCCCGCTGCTCCTGGGCGACACTAAACGATGGGTGAAATGTAGAGGACAAATTTCCCTATGGGGACAATAAAGTGTACCTTGACCATAAACTGAAGTCAGATTCATTTCGAGAGTTACAAGTTAAGTGTATGTTAAGTTACAATTGTAACAATTTAGAGAGTGTGGGTTGCTTTTCCAGTAATACTGTATAATTTAAATATTATGAAAATGCTGAAATGTTTGTGTTGTATTGCATTCTGTATCATGTTTCGCGATACCCTACAATTTCCATCTCTAGCCCAGATGATGACTGTAAAAAGAAATAGGCAAAAGGAAAGATAAAATGAAAGTGCAGGTAGCAGATGCTGTGGTCCATGCTGCACAGGGGAGGTCTCTTTATGAGGTTACCTATAGCTACCAAGCCATTCTGTTCCACACAGGCCCATATCAACCTCCTTAGATATGGAAACATGACTTAATATACACTCGATGTTTTGAAAGCACTGCTCATTTAGTCTAAGTCTTTATACAAATCCATCCACATTTGCAATTCTAATACCTCACCAAAACTTTCTCATCTGCTCCGAAATGTGAGTCTATTCTCTTAGGCAACATGAAAATTTATAAGCAGCCAGACTTTTGCCCATTTTAGTTCACAAGTTCGTCAAGTTAAAATGGCATCTGCTATCCCCATGACCTGTAATTACAACAGCTAATACCACACCTACTCATAGCAACTGCAGCTCTATAGCAACAGCTGCTACTCACTAGGTGCGTCTCAATGTCGACTTCTGAGCAGAGCTATAAAGTAGTTGGAGTTTTGAATGATTTTTTTTGGAGCTGTAAAACACCTGTTAACTGAGCAAAGTGTCCCTCGCCCAACTTTTTAGGAGTTCATGTCCTCTTGGAACTGGAAGGTCACTGTACAAGCTGCAAGGAGAATTAGTAAACACTGATAATACAATGATTGAATTTAAATTTAGCTGTCTACCTCTTTATGTTGTGTATTATGGGTATGACGCAAGCTGTAACCTTATATACCATATATGTTGAACCAATGCAAATATTTTTCTACTTTGATCCAAAAATCTGTTCACCCAGTACACTGGTTGGGCCAAGAAAATGATGTAATAAGACTATTGACTGGTCATATTCAGCCAAGAAAATCGGATAATATTTGAATTTTATTTATACAAAGCTGTTCTGTGGTTACTTGAGAGATAAGTTACAGCTACGTGACACATTTGTATCAGTTTTCTCTGATTTTATTTTAGCTGTTAAGGAAATAAATGCTTTTTTCAGTCTCTGCACTGGTATCAGTTTATATCGGATATTACCAGATACTTAATGCTGTAGTATCGAAATGGGTATAAGAACTGAAAAAGCTGGATTGGTGCACACCTAGATTAAAAGTAGAATAGAGGTTTATTTAAAATTTCATACACAATGCTGTCTCTCTCTAGCCAGGCTGGCGCTACATAGTGTCTTCGCTCAATTTCATTTCTCTGCAGCGACTAGTTCAGGAATCGGAATACACTAGAAGGTTTCCAAGAACCTCGGAGGTTTTAGACCGTGCAGCCAATCAGCGAAGAGTTGTGAAGCCATGACGTCAAAGGCCACTCTGGTCCCTTTTGTGGTACAGCACAAAAGTAAACAAAGTGGTCGAAATGGATGTAGAAGAAGCCATACATTCTGTTGGCAACGAGATTGACGATTTAAAGCTGGAACAACATAGAATGTTTGGTAAATTTTATCAAGGGGAAAGACGTTATTGCCCTTCTTCCTACGGTATTTGGCACATTACATACGTCATGAACAAATAGCAGCAATTAGTTAAATAAAAAAAAGTACCTGCCTGCCATCGAGTCAACGAATCCTAAATCTGCGAGGTCAGACGGTTTCCATGTAGTGAAACCAGCTAATGAATCAGGTTAGTCTCTCTCCCCAGATGTGAGGTAAATATGTTCAAATGAAATACTGCTTTTATTGACAATTTTAAGGTTAACGTACTCTTGATTACAAAAACATTGTACATATTGATCAGTTTGTTGAAGCTGTCATTTGATATTTTGTTCTCAAGCCAATTATCAAATAATAATGTTTATTGTATATGTATGTTTATAATAATGTGTTATGTATATATGCAATACATTTTATGAAAAAAAAAAAAAAAAAATCCAATAAGAAAGCAGAATGAGACTCAGATAACCACTCCCTGTAGAACTATCTGCATTATCATTCTGAACTTTCTGCTCCTTTCCCCCCTTTTTGCTGTCCTACCAGTTGTCTGAATTAGGTTTATAGAGTCTCTCCAAAATCAATTAACAAGTTGCAACTTCCTTAGCTGAACTCAGCACTTGTATCTTTCTTGTGTGCTGCTATTACTGCTTTAGATGGAGTCTCCTCCCTCTCAGTCTCAGTGATATGGATGCATTGGCACTCACATGGTATGGGTTTTCGGGGTTGAATGCTGACCCGGCAGACTGTGGTCCATTGTCTTCCTGTTCCTCTGCGGCTCTGGGGGCTTCCTGGTCGGGGCCCCTCTCCTCTCCGGCAGCTGGCCTGGTCCGGCGCGGTTTAAACTGCCGCGTGCCTCTCCCCGCCTCTCTCCTCCTCCTCTGCCTCGCTCCATCTGTCAGGACCACCACAAGGGACGCTGGGTACTGGGTCAACATCACCAAGGCGCCATGCACGTCCTCCCAGCGCGGGGCGTACATAGTCTGTGCCGTCTCTGAGGCCTTCTGAATTATTCAATTAGCAGCAGTGATACTAGCAAGTGCTCCTGCATATTTCACCATCATTCTTTTTTAATATTAGTACGAGTTTTGGCTCTAAATGCGATGTATATTCAGGATGTCTGAGTCAAGTTCACATCAAGGTTTTTACAGTTTACAAGGGCGTCGGACTAGATTCGGAACATGAAAGGACTGGACTTTGGTTGCATCTAAATCGTGTGATATACTTGAGTAAAAGTATTGATACTTTGCTGCTGGTGTCATCATTATTCTCTGGGGGTGTGAAGCTAACTGATAGCACTACTCAGTTAGACTTAAAGGTGCATTATGTAACTTTTCTGGTGGAGGGTCCATCACCTGCTTGTTTCTCTGGATATGTCGTTGCTCTGTATGACATTAAACAAGCCAAGCTGGCGTCACCTAGTGCCTCCACTCAGTTTCATTTCTCTCCAGCAACTAGGTCCGGCTACTAGGAATGGGAATATACTAGACGGTTTGCAAGAACCCTGGAAGTGCAAGTCCAGGCACCAGCCAACCAGCAAAGAGCCATACATTCTGTGTTGACAACGATTTCCAAGATTGAGGATTTAAAGCTGTAACAAAGAGAATGTTTGGTGAATTTTATCAAGGGGAAAGACGTTATTGCCCTTCTTCCTGCGGGATTTGGGAAAAGCTTAATATTCCAGTAAGCCCCGTTAGTGAAGCATTACATACGTCACACCCAAATCCAAAAAAGCACCTGCCTACCGTCGAGTGAATGAATCCTAACACTGGGAGGTCAGACGGTTTCCACAAAGTCAACCAGCTGATAAATCACACTAACATTAAACAGCTCTAACTTACATTTATTCAATTACGGGTGGTTTTATAGCTCAAAAATATCTAGAAAACAGCCATTCTGATTTGTGGGATGGGGTTGCCTCTTCACAGATCTGACCTGTAACTTGGTCTGGTTTGGTCTCCATGAAGATAGAAAGGTTTAATACCAAATGGTGAAACATTGCAGACAAATCAATAACATAATAAAAGCATTTGACGGACCCTTCACCAGAAAAGTTACATAATCTATCTTCATGGAGACCAAACTAGTACAAGTTACAGGTCAGATCTATGGAGAGGCAACCACATTTACTGTAAAAATGCCTGTTTTTCCAAGATTTTTTGAGCTATAAAACCACCTGTAAAGCTGTATTTAATATCATACTGTGAAACATTCCAGGCAGAGAAATTTCATACTCATATAGAAACAAGAAGTTACATAGTGCACCTTTAACATTGTTGTTTTCTTCCTTCTATACGAGAACCACTAAAACTTCTACATCTTGGCTACAGATTATTGCCTTGACTCCGCTCGCTGCACTATTTGACATAATAATAAAATTAACTTCTCGTCCGATCCATATAACTGTCCATATACTTTCTTATATTATCTTCGTACCACTGATGTACCATTAAGTTTGTGTTTTCTGTACTTTACCAAGGCCTGATCAGGTTCATTGCCAGGCTTTTCAACGATGTGGTACAGCTCAATGTTCTAATTGATTGAATACAAATCCAAACTTTTATTAAGTCTTAACCTTCTGACCTTCAGTATACATTCATAAACACACATAAACTTTCCGAAGGCTACACTGAAGGTAAATGTGGACTTCTCCATCTAGTAGTTGTTTTACATTAATTAAAACCAACACTGCATGTGATAATAATTGGATTATTTTCAGAAAACAATTACAAGTGACATTATCTGCACTTATCAATTAAAACATACATATGCCAAATAAATATGATAATTAAATTAACAATAAAAATATTTGGTAAAGATAATAATAGACGAGAAAATAATACACAAGATGAAAATATTTACTACAGTATTTTAGTTTCTAGTGGGCTTTTGTACATGATTTAAGTAATGGTGCCAGTACACAATCAACTCATCTGTCTACCATAGCATTTTTTTATTTTTTTTTATTTTATTGTTAATTGTTGTTGTTAAATGTATCTATTAATGAACCACAAAAACACTGCAGCTGTAATGAAGGGAAGAGGGTCACGATTTATTAATAAAATTGGTTCATTATTATAAATTAAAGGTGCAGTATTTGATTTTTACCTCCTTGTAAATGTGAAATACAGTGTTTCATTTTAAAAGGTTTTCAGTGGTCCAAAGTTATTCCTCACTTACCTTATGCATTCCAAGTATCCTAATTATTCACTGTGATTAGTTTATAAGAGCTTTTCACTGCTACAACTAGCATGCTAACAGTGCACTTCCTGATTATCATAGAGTAAAACACTATAATTGGATATCAACAGTACACGGGGGACATAGTTTGAGCTGCTTATACGATATATCTGTACTGAGACAAGGCAAATTTTGCTCAATTACTGTACTGGCCTTTAAAGATGCATTGTGTAACTTTTCTGGTGGAGGGTCAGTCAAATGCTTTTCTCTCTGTGAAGATGTCACTGCTTTGTCTGCAGTGTTTCACAGTATGACATTAAACCTTTCTATTCTCACGGAGGCCAAACCAGACTAAGTTAGAGGTCAGATCTTTGGAGAGGCGACCCCACTCACAGTCAGAATGCCTGTTTTTAGGTATTTTGAGCTATAAAACCACCTGTAATTGAATAATTGTAAGGTAGAGCTGTTGAAAGGGAAGGTATGGAATTCTGGACATAGGACCGTATTTCCTAGTGAGCCAGAGTGTTGGAGACATGCGGAGACACTTTTTAAAATATTCCATCCAGTCCTTGTATTTGCAGAGGTCGCTGGTGCTAGGACTAGCGCATGTCAATGGCCATAGTTAGCCTGCCACTAAAAACAGTCTTACCCACTCCACTAAACACCCGAAGCAATTCAGTTATTACGCCAGACTGTCAATATAAATGCCTGTGCTGATAGAATAATGTTTGAAATAAAACTAACCTTGCATCGCATTAATTGTCGCATGTTGAGGGACTATTTTCACAGCAGCAACAGAATTTTACTTTGCTGGTAAGATAGGTCCTAGGTGATATCAGTCCGCCACTGCCAAACTTTCTATAAGGAAGTACAACTCACTGCTGCTGCTCAGACATAAATCCTTCAAATGCAAGGTTGGTTTTACTTCTAAAATTATTCTATCAACACAGACATTTACATCGACAGTCTAGCGTAATAATAGATTTGTTTCGGGTGCTTTGTGGAGTAGGTAAGACTGTTTTTAGTGGTAGACTAACCATGGCCATTAACATGCACTAACCTAGCACCAGTGACCTCTGCAAATACAAGGACTGGATGGAATATTTTAAAAAAGTGTTTCCACATGTCTCCAACACTCTGGCTAACTAAGAAAGAGGTCCTATGTCCAAAATTCCAGACTGTTCCTTTAATATCATACTGTGGAATATTCCAGGCAGAGCAGTGATATATTCATAGAAACAAACAGGTGACGAACCTCCAACCAAAAAGTTGCATAGTGTACCTTCAAATACACAGTGCTGTAATGTCCAGAGTGTGTCTTAGTTCTGAGGTGAGTGCTTTTTCTTTCACACTGTTCCTGTGAGTGCAACATTAAGAACATCATTAGACTTGTGAAATGAATATTGTGTTATATCACCTTTAGGGGAGGCAGGCTCGAGCCAGTATATGGGCAGACCTTTGCATAGGCTTATAATCTTTTTGCTCAGAAATTCTGTGTCCGTCACTGGCCGATCCAAAGCCACCCATGTCATGATCTGCTCCTCGGATCTCACAGGCAGGATCTCATCTCTCTGTATAGCACAAAAGCACACAGCGTTCCTTGAAAAAGTTGAGACGGAACGCAAAATAGCAACACTGTGCGCGTATTTGTGTCTCTGTAAATACCGGGTCGGGCGTCAGTAGCTCCGTGTTGTCACTTTCCACGTCTGGCAGGTCGTCTTTGATTTGGGATTTTATAAAGCACTTGTCTCCACCGAAGAAGCGGATTCCCGTTATTCCCTGTTCCAAATCACAGAGATGCCATATTTACACTCAGGCCCGCGCGACTTTGCTAAGCACACACTAAGTCTCATCAGGCGGAAAAAAAAAAAAAAAAAAAAAAAAAAACAGAACAAGGACAAACTCACTCACACTTTGAAAATCGTGGATCTCCAACGCCTCAGCCCCCTCCCCTGTTTTAAATCTCTCCAGGTTATTGTCAGAATCAATTTCCGCCGATGCCTCCCTCAGTTCGCCGTTGATGTTCATACTGTAGCGCACATTGTAAACCTGGAGGCGGTTCAGAAAAGAGGATGGGTTAGTTTAATCCAAAAAAAGATGCTAGCTGCAAAAGCAACCAAGAACACACTCTCACAAATATAAGCTCATTAGGAGACAAATAAAAAGTCTTAAAACCGCCTCTTGTGATTTACCCGTAATGCAATTTGTATGGTGAAACGAAGCAAGCCTCGCCATCTACACACAGTAACTTTAGTAATTATGGTAATCCGCATAATTATCATCATTAATCAGACTCGGTTGCAATTAACATTTACTGTATCTCGTGTTGGGATCTGCATGCACTCATCAACAGTGTTAGCGATAAGGCTTACGTTTCTTTCCGTGACCTTCCAGAAGAACAAAGCAGCCACAGATGCGCATAACAATAAAATAGCGGCGAGGACCAGGGCCAGGGCGCCAAATCTCAGGAGAGGGCTGAGCGCAGAGGACCGGCCGGGGCTGGGCATGTAGACCTTTAAGTGAGAGCAAATACACATTACTGAGCACGGAGAGGGGCTCAGGGGTAAAGGCCTCCACTTCTGAAATTATGGTTATTGTTGTTTTGTTGCACAGTGGTGAAGAGTAGTCAAATGTGAAGTATACACAAAATAGATCTCTACCAAGGCGCTGGTCCTAACATGCAGTGGTGTGTACACTAGGAAGTCCAATCTCTACTGAACAAAAGGTGAACGCTAGCTGGTGGAATAGAGCATTTTGAGCTTTGGAGATGTAAACAGACTAATAATGCAGGGTAACTCAAACTTCTGATATCAACATTATGCCATGATTTAAAGCTCATATGAGTCAATTTTGTGTATATTTTGCTTTCTTGTTAATGAACTGAATTAAATGTGGCTCCTTTTAAAATGAAAAACTGTTCATTTAGGTTCCAGTATTGATTGGAAGATTGACCAGTAATGATGTATGTAGAATCTAGACATGCCCTCTGTATGATCTTCTAGTCCATGGGAAATGGTTCCTGTTTTTCAAATGGTTATTTTTGTATTCCACAATGTGAATACATATATACAAGGCAAAAAAAACAAAAAACAAACAAACAAAAAAAACACACACAGTCAAAATACACACACACAAAGACTTATACCAAGGCACTGAGCCCCTAGCATGCAATGGTAAATATAGTATCCATAAATGTAGCCCTACTGCAAGATCTTCAAGTTCAAGGATAAAGGCTCCATCCTCTCATCTGACACTCTACAATGTGAATACAAAAGTAACATACATGCAAAAACAACCTCTACCAAGGCACTGGTCTCTAGCATTCAATGGTATTATGCAATGGTAAATATATATGTATATAATTGTTGTACTGTAAGAGCTTCTAGTTCAGGGGTAAAGGCTTCTTTCCCTCAAACGATGGTTATTGTTGTGGTAACATTTTCTAATAATCCGAATTAGCTTTAATAAAGCACAAACCAAGACGTAAGGAACAAATAGTTTCATCAAGGGGTTAGAGTAATTAAGTCGTTAGTAAACCTGAATCATTCTATCTCCACTGTCCATTATAATTTGTCCATCATCATATTATCATTATCATATCTTTGTTCATGCTTTAGTAAGGTGTAGTTATGATAAAGTGGCACTGAATTAAAAAAATACATAATTGCACTATGAATATAAATGCATTTTTTATATATCTGTCTACTCTAGTTATTAGTTGAGTGTTTAGGAGACTATAATGTAACATTGTACGAAAGGTCAAATTGATTATTACTGAAGAAAATGCAAAAGTTACAAAACTGACCTCTTATGGTAAATGCAATCATTAGACAGTACAGTGGGAGGATGTGCAATTGTTCCGAGAAAGATGGGTAGCCTTCTCTGTAACCTCACTGTAACCTTGTATATAAGAATCTGGAGTTAGTCAGTTAATTAACATCTATTCCACACCCTAATAAAAGAATTAATGTGACTAAATGTGCAGTATAAATAGAGAATTTACATACTGGGATAGGATGTTGGAAACAGTCCACTTTTTCCCCGGGCTCTTGCATGGTGCTTGGTTCAGTTTCTCCTATAAGTCTGATGTTTCTGTCAGATTCAGGTTAAGCTGGGAGGCCTGCAGGCACTAATGTGGGAATGACGTCCAGTTGATGCAACACATTCTTCATATAAACGTTACCTGTGGCGTTTATATGGGATGTAATAGGCAGCTGAAGCAAGACGGCCATCCTCTTGGTAAGTGCTTCAGAACTGGCCAGAGAGAGCCTACTTTGTTGTCAGGGCAACCGGTTCCATACAGAGGTTGAAGCCCCCCCAATCAACATACCCACTCAATCATAATCAATGGTGGAAAGAGTTTGTACTCTCGTGAAAGGACAGTTGCATGTGTAGGATTTGCTCAGTTATGAAGTACTGCTGCCAAATACACTATACAAAAATGTACTACTATTACTACTCAATGTACTACATAATCACTAAAGATGTAATGATATCCAAATCTCTCTGTACGATATTATCACAATATGCATCTCACGGTACGATATTTTCTGCAATATTTTGGTGAGGCTAATATAATTGTAAATAGGACACATTTGTGCTTTTGAAATACCTTGACAAGATTTTGGTGTGAATTATTTCCATCATAATCCCAAGAATTCAAATAAAAAACATATCTCTTCATGTTGTTTGCGCTGAAATGAATCATGGGATATGTGGTTCCCAATGTTCATAAGCTGTTGCTACCTTAAAACCATTTAAGCATTTAAGTAAAGGAGCTTGTAATTCGTTATACTATGAGAGCCCAAGATATTATTGTGAGACTTTTGACGATATGATACCACTATATTTCGATTATTGTTACATCCTTAGTAGTGACTAGTTTAAATCACCTTTTTACACAACACAAAATCCATTAAACTATGTAGAACTAAATTAAATAGTTTTATAGGGCCCATATTATACATCAAATCATACCTGGAGTTGTTTTGTTTCATTCACATGTTTAACAAACAAATCCTACATATTTAGACTTAGTTTAGTACACTTTGTTCCACCTTGTGATGTCATGTGGCGATACGGAAAGTGCTCCACTAAACTCCATCCACCTTCAATAGAATCATATGAATAATTTCAGAACTGGAATTGCGAATCCCTAATGAAAATAAGGTAAAATGTAGCTGTTAATTTGAAAACTACCTCTTGGTGACATCACAAGGTGGAACTGAGCATGTATGATTGTATAATTTTAAATGGAACTAAGTACAATTACATGCTGGAATTACACTAATTTACACTCAGGTACACTAGGTATTTTTCATCCTTGATCATAATTATCATTTTTGTATTGTGCATAGTGTTTATGAAACACTAGAAATGCTGCAGGAAATCGTGTATCTTTGTGAGTTAAATAAATGCATTTTGAATTACAGGTAAACCACTTTCAAATTAAAATCAAACAAAAATGCAATCAAACTAAAAAATAATTATACAGAGTTTGTGGTGAGTGAGATACGGAGCCCTTGCTTTATCTCCAGACAGTTTAAATTTTCATCTTGTTACAAATTTGAGCACATTTTCAGAAAGCGACTTGTTTACCAGAGAAAATTCAATTCATTATTCAATATATAGTATGGATATAAAGAGCTAAGAGTGGGATACATAATTTATGGAGGTATCTGGTGAGATTGCAGATTACTTCTTCAGCCTTTAAGCCCCTGAGATGTGTGCAGCGGTTAGGACTCTTGCCTCATAACCAGAATGTTTGGAGTTGGATTCCTGGACTGGGTAAGGTTTCTCCGTTGTTCTTAAGTTTTGTGTCACAGTTGTTCTTAACAATTTGAGATTTATTTTAAAGGTGCACTAAGTAACATTTCTGGTGGCGAGTATGCTACCTACTTCATTGCTTTTCCTAAAATGTTCCACAGCATGGCATTAAATGTATCTATCTTCATCATACAGGTGGTGAGATGAGGCCAAGTTAAGGGTCAGATCTAGGGAGAGGCTCACAGTAAGTACTACATATTTTTGAGCAATGAAAACAAAATAAAATGTTAAACATTCATACATTCTAAACTGAAATGTCTGTGTAATCTAAAACTTTTGTCCAGTGACAGAATTGAATTTTTATTTACAATTATTTTACAATAATTTTCTATTACAAACCAAAAGGGATGTAACAATAACCAAAATATCATGATATTGTGGAGTAGAAATAAGGATGGCAGAGGCACGCTGATTTGCGATGTGTTTATTAATAGCTGCAAATCAGAGTGCTTCTGCCATCCTTATTTCTACTCCACAAGAATTGAAGCCCTCCGGTTTGATGAACACTTGTATGCGTAAGTTTTGATCCAGTGCAGCACTTCAGTATCATTATTTTTATCATGATATTGTATCATCAGAAGTCTCACAATAATATCGAATTACAAGCTCCTTTGCTTAAATGCATGGTTTTACAGTAGCAACCGCTTATAAACATAGGGAACTACATATCCCATGATTCATTTCAGTGCAGACAACAGGAAGAGATATGTTTTTACTTGAATTCTTTGGATTATGACAGTAATAATTCACACCAAAATCTTGTCAAGGTATTTTATAAGTAAAAAAGTGTCCCATCTATAATTATACTAGCCTCTTCAAAATATTGCAGTAAACATCGTACCATGAGATGCATATCGTGACAATATTGTACCGTGAGATTTGGATACTATTACATCCCTACAAACCAAGCAATGAGATCTGCATGGAGAGGCTGTCCTTATACTCCATCAGAAAAGTTACACAGTGCACCGTTAATTACAGTTCATTACAATTTTGTGCAGCAAGAAATGTGCTCAAAACAAGATTCAACCAGCTTATTTTTTTTATTTTAAAAAATGATACTGGGAAAACACCTCTCACCCACTTCTCTGCTTCTTCAAATGTCACCTTTTCTAAGACAAATAAATGTAAAATGTGTTATTTGAATGCAATTACGCACTGGTGTTTGTTATAGTGTTTTGACAGAAATTCAGTTTGTTCAGCTGTAAATCTGCTCAATTTTGCACTGCGTGTCTGTATTATTTATGAAGCAGATTTCAGTGTGTCATGTTGACTTTTTCAGAGGTTTTATCAAGTGGCTTGTTTTGAAGAAACCCGCATTGTGCTTCTTGACATTTTACTGAAGTGTTATATGCAGTTTGCTCTACTTTTGCCTTCTACCGTTACTGTAAAATGTCTTCAAGCTGTGTAAAGAAAAGGAATTCTCGACAGTGTTGGAAAAGCAACGGTGTACAGTACAGCATCTAACTGGCATTTCACTAATTATAGATGTCTTATAGCTCCAAACTGTGAGGGGGAGTTGCTACTTCACAGAGCTGACCTAGTGATGTTACCTGCTCGTCTCCATGGCGATACAGTACATATACCTTCATTTTAGACACAAACAAACACTAAACAACAGGATTTTGTAGCATTGGTAGTATTTCCTTTTTTTTTTTTTTCCACCCTGTAAATAGAAGGTATACAATCTTTCTTGTTGAGGTATTTAGCTGCAGTGTTGATACTTTGCAGCTGATGTCATATCGTCAACATTCCCTGAGGGTGTGATGCTAACTCAAGCTATACTTTAAAGGGACAGTCCGGAATTTTGGACATAGGACCTCATTCCCTAGTTAACCAGAGTGTTGGAGACGTGTGGAAACACTTCTTTAAATATTCCATTCAGTCCTTGTATTTGCAGAGGTCGCTGGTGCTAGGCTAGTGCATGTCAATGGCCATAGTTATCCTGCCACTAAAAACAGTCTTACCTGCTCCACAAAACATCCAAAACAAATCTATTATTATGGCAGACTGCCGATGTAAATGTCTGTGTTGATAGAATAATTTTAGAAGTAAAACCAACCTTGCATTTGAAGGATTTATGTCTGAGCAGCAGCAGCGAGTTGTACTTCCTGATAGAAAGCTTGGCAGCGGCGGACTAATATCACCTAGCACCTATCTTACCGGCAAAGTAAAACTCCGCTGCTGCTGAGAAAACAGTCCCTCAACATGCGACAATTCATGAATTCATTCATGCAAGCATAGACTGTATAAAAGAAGTGGACTGCATGAGTGTGATGTCACCCATAGCATTCAGTGCCTCTCAAATGAGGCTTGCGATGCTAATGGTCACAGAAGCGAATCTGGAGCCAGGCTCTATGTTAAGAATAGGATTTTTCTGATGGACAAAATAACAACAACAACAATTAAAAAAAAAAAAAAATCAGGATCATCTAGAGTGGGTTTTAAGACCAAACTGATGAGGCTCACTGCAGCAGTTACAGAGAAAGAGGCCACAAGATCCAAATGTAAGTCAATTGGAGCCAGAGTCAGAAGGAGCTGGAAGAGCCTCCTGACACACTTCTTATTTGGCACGTGGCAGCTAGCGCGTTAGCTATGTCCACTCATATATACAGTCCATGGATGCAAGGTTAATTTTATTTCAAACAGAGACATTCACATCAGCAGTCTGACATAATAATAGATTTACTTCAGACGCTTTGTGGAGTGGGTAAGACAGTGGCAGGATAACTATAGCAATTGACATGCGCTAGCCTAGCACCAGCGACCTCTGCAAATACAAGGACTTTATGGAATATTTTTAAAAAGTGTCTCCGCACACTCTGGCTCACTAGGAAATCAGGTCCTATGTCCAAAATTCCAGACTGTCCCTTTAATAGTAGCTTTGTCTTAACACAATCTGAAACTGATTTAACCGGAACTACATGTGAGGTGATTTGTGCTGTTATACAAGTCCCTCTCACTTAAAATAACAGACACAAACTACTTAGCATTAGCCAAGACTTTTTCAGTTAATCACGTTCTTTGTGTGGAAAATCAAACACCTAAACAGGACAATGAGCACTCGTATTGATCACAGACTCCTGAAAATGTGTTATAATGTGTTGTTTGAATCAATTTAGTGCTTTTTGTTGAGTTTTCAAACTGTCTGAAAACGTTTTTTGGCATTGCTGACTAATGTGTGCATTGAATCACCATGGTAACTCCTAAACATTCCACCATTAGAGATACATGTAGAACACCCCAAGTATCAAATTTATACACACCAAATTACAAATCCAATAGTGGTGGTAAAAAATAAAATAAAATACAAAAATCCAATAGTGATACTTCTGAAATAAAAAAGTTAGTAGAAAAATTATGAAAAGTGTATACAAGTTTAAGTGTATACAAGTAGTAGCTGCATTTACGTAGTGATAGCAACTTGCGACAAACAGAAGTATTACATTTTTTTTATGTTATTTACTGTCCAATGAATGTCCCAGAAACATGCTGCACCTTATCTAATGTCAAGTTCACCTATGAAAACCTCACACAATAACATCTTTTTTGGGCCCACTCTCTATTATTCCTCTGTAATAGCGAATTTTATGGTTTGGCAACAGGATGGCCTGGTCAAGGTTACTTACTTCTTATCATAACTTTTAAAGGAAGAAAACACACATAAGAATAAAATGGATTCAAATTTGCCATGCAGCTGTTGCTTGGAAACAGATTGGAGCACATTTTTGGGATAATTGCTAGGCTGCCAAGCAATCAGAAAGGTGAGGAGATTCTTTGACCCAAGTTAACAACATTGTGTACCATGAAAAGAAAGTGACATTGGCTTATGCTTGCTGTCAATTTTGCTGTGATCGTAAGAAATAGGAAAACATAGTAGGTTTTATTTCTTGTGGATTAAGCGGATTTACGCATGTATTCAGCCGGGTAAATCAGGTCATTGTGTTGGACAATAGGGAGTTAACAAGAAGCCTGGACACCCACACAGCGGCTCATCAGTCAAAACGTTACGACCATAACGTGTAATACTGCTGGTCATGACAAAGTATATTCACATCAGGCAAAACAATATGACCACGTGTCTCATTTGTTCAACTGCTTGATCGATGCTAAAACTAATATAAAAACTAGATTTGAATCATAGTCTGATCTGTATCAAAACTTGTAACATGGTGATATTAAAGGGCCCATATTACAATATTTTCTGATCTAGTGTGTGCAATAATGCTGTTTCCTCATCAAAAACAGACCTGGAGTTGTGTTTTGTTTCATCATTCGCACATGTTTAACACACAAACCCTGCATATATTTCTGTTCCCCCTTGTGATATTATATGGCCACACAGGAAGGGCTCCACTGTGTTAAAATACATACACTTTCACTAGAATCATTTGGGTGATTTCAGCGCTGGAATTGCTAAACTCTACTCAGTTTAAGTTAGAAATCTACCACTACATGACATCAAAAGGTGGAACAGAGAATTTTGAGCTTTGGAAATGTAGACACACTAATAATAAAATGTTACTCAAATGATTATGAAACAAAACACAACTCCAGGTCTGTTTTTGAAGTAACAATATTCTAACATGGTTTAAAGCTCACAAGAGTCCATTTTGTGGAATATAGGACCACAAAGAAATCACAATTTTATGTGTTGAAAATTACTTTGTTTTTTCATTATTGTTTGTTAAAAATTTCGATTGAGCATAGAGCATTTTCCTCTCGACATTGGATTTGAAATGATAGTTTTGAGAAAAGACTAGGATGTTCTGATTGGACAAAACTTTTATAACAATGGGTGTAACAGTAACCAAAATATGTGATAAAAGTGACATTGTATCATTAAAAGTCTCTCAATAATATCGTGGGTCATCACAATATGTCAAATCACAACTTTCTTTGCTTAAATTCATTGTTATGGTGCAGCAATAGCTAAAGAAACAGAGGGAACTACATCGACCAAGATCCTTTGCTCTGTTTTGGTGCAAACTACATGAAGAAATAGCAGTTCTTAATTCTTTGAATTAAGTCTTTTCAAGGCATTTTAAGAGGAGCATATTCAAATTTTGTTCGCCTCCACAAAATATCGCAATAAATATCGTACCCTGAGATTTGGATATTGTTACATCCCTACTTATAAGTGTTCATAATATAATTTTTCTTTGGATTATTATTTTACTTTTCTGGACACTCAGAGAACATTTACATTTCATTTTCATTCACTTCACACTTGAGGGAGGTAAGCTCCAACAGTAGCTGCAGGGGGCCAACTGACAGAGCTGCGGCTGCCAATCTGTCTCAACAGCCTCTCATGACATTCATATTAAAGCAGGGTGGATGAAGTGCCTTGCCCAAGGACACAATAACAATACACGCTGGCCGCCAACTTTTCAACAAGACAATGACTCTCCCATCTGAGACACCGAGAACATAAAAATGCTCACCTGATTTCAACTTGTTTTACCCAACAAACTGCAATGTGTTCTCTATTATTCTGTCATAATCACTTGCCAATTTTCAACCATTTGTGCCTCCCATGCATTCTATGTTGCCAAGTTACCACAATAAAACACTTTAAAGGGGCCATTATACACTATTTTCTGATTTATGTTATAATTTTATTTCCTCATCACAAACATACCTGGAGTTGTGTTTTGTTTCATTCACACAAGTTTAACAAACAAACCCTGAATATCGAGGCTGAGGTATTTTCTCAAACAGAAAACACTCTGTCCCACCTTGTGATGTCATGCGGTAATGCAGAAAGTGAAACACTGTGTTTTTAAACTCCATACATCTTCACTCGAATCATCTGGATAATGTCAAACTTGGAACTGCCAATCTCTACTGAACAAAAGATAAAAGGAACTGACTAACTTAAAAACTACCTCTTCATGACATCACAAGGTGGAACAGAACATTTTGAGCTTTGGAGACATCAACAGGCTAATAATAAAATTACTCAAATGTGTAAATGAACCAAAAAAAACCCAAACAACTTCAGGTATGTTTTTGATGAGGTAACAATGTTATAACATGACTTAAAGCTGCACTATGTAACTTTTCTGATGAAAGGTCCATCAAATGCTTGCTCCATGTTCCATAGAGATGTTATTGCTTTGTCTGAAATGTTTCACAGTATGGAATTAAACCTTTCTATTATCATGGAGACCAAATCAGATCAACTTACTGGTCAGATCTGTGGAGTGGCAACCTTGCTCACAGTTAGAATGCCTGTTTTTCTAGGTATTTTTCAGCTATGAAAGCACCTGCAATTGAATAAATGTGAGGTAGAGCTGTTTGATATCATATTGTGGAACATTACAGGCAGAGCAATGACATATCCATAGAAACATGCAGGTAATGGACCCCCAGCCAAAAAGTTACATAATGCACCTTTAAAGCTCACAAAAGTAAATTTTAGTAATATAGGACGTTTAACATGGTTTGAGTTGAGCCCAGTTGTCCAGTTTCTTAGTATTTTTTTTTTACTTCTGTCACAAATGCTTACTGACTACAATTCTACCCAAAAAGAGCTGCCGTGACAAAGAGACTGTCTGCATTACTCAGTGCGCACACCTCCAACCAGAAATCATATTTAATTTAACCATTTATTTGTGCAACAGTGTGACAAAAATCTTCCACAAACAAAGTTGATTGTTTTCACAGCAGAGACTTCCCCCCTTTCGATTTTTTCACAGGTCTTCATGCCCCTTAATATATTAATAACACATGCTTTTTGAAAATCCGTAATAAAGTCTTTGTACATGGATATGAAAAATATATTATATACAAAATCTTGCATATTACACAATAAACAGTCTGACGGGAGCCAAGACACAGATGACGGATTACCAAAAAACACCGCAACATGAAGAAAGCTTTTTTGTACATAATTATTCTCACAACATTTACAGTTTTTATGAATTGTTGTATTCAGGGATGGAAATTTCATCTGTCTCTTGTATCCGAGCCGGTGTGGGTGGACCGACTAATATGTAGTCAAATTCCTGGTGCTGGACCTGTTCGTACACGCTCTGCAGTGCGTTTGGCTTGGGTATGTGAGAGGGGTAGTAGTTCTCCCGACGTGCGTCCCTTGGGAGTGAAGCAGTCTTGTTGAAAGTGGACAGGTGCGTGGACAGGTGCGAGGACAGGTGCGGTGCGCAGGCCAGGCTGGTGTTGGGTCTAGACGCAGAGGGGCTCCAGCAGCGATCCGAATGTCCGAGCACTTTACATTCACTGGTACAAGCCCATAAACCTATAGAAAGAAGGAAGGTTGAGAAACTATTTAAATGCATGGCCAGGTTAAGTGGGCAGAGAGCGTTGAAGTGTCCTTTCTATTACCTATTACCCACAATTCATGTTTGCTCAACCTTTTACATTGGCTATACGAATGGTCTAGGCTGTGTTTACTAAGAGGACATATTGGATAACAGTCTTAAATGTCATGTTTGAATGTTTCAATTCATTTTTATTCGTCCTTCTTTCTATTCAATGTGTCTGTTCCAGGGTCACTACAAAAACGGTCTGCCTTCTATGCACAGTAATTTGTATTCATTTCTTTATGTAGGATTTGAATCAACAATTTCTTTTCCAGTTCTAAAAAATAATTTCCTAGTATTTCTAATAAGTGTTTTTTTTTTTTTTTTTTTTTTTTTCAATTTCTCATTAATCTGCCCAGATATCAGAACAACATGTTGTAAAAGTTTTCTCATAAATAAAAAAAAACCAATTACGTTCTGATATTTTTATTGCAAGATGCTTTCTGTCTTATGGAAATGAAACACATGCCTAGAGTGGTGCGTTGGATGCCAAAGAAGGCTACTACTTTTATTATTTTCACCCTTTGCAGTTAATATTTTATATGGGTTAATTACTATAAATCACTAGACAGAAGTACATTTTCATCTTCATTGTTCATTATTATAATTTTTGCAGTATGTCTCCAAAAAGCAGTTCCAAAAAGCTTCAAAATAATACTTACTCTTAACTTTCCCTTTAGTTATTCATGCATTGGAATTACACAAAATGTACACTGGCTTTTGACCCTTTGTATCTACTCGTGGATTTCAGCTTTCATATGATATTCAGATATTGAACTGTTGATTGTTATGGCAACGGACCAAACTTTTCATCACTCTGTTTTCTATCCTGCACTGACTTACTGTTTGTGGGCGGAGACTCCTTCTTGTGGACGTCTGCGCTGATGTCACTGTCACTGTCGTTGAAATCGCTGTCCCCTTTGCCGCTGTCCTTACCGCTGATGTGGGGGTCCCGGGCCGAGATGGTGGTGAAAGAATTACCCTTCCAGATAGTTATAGGCCTCACTGTCTCTTTGCCATACCCCGGCAAAGTGGAGTAGCCCTGTGGAGTCAAAGGAGCATGTTAGTAGTACCAAAGCAGTATTTCATGGACTATTTGCTATTTAAAAACAGAAATGATGCATGAACTAGATCATTTTGAGTGTTCAGGGCCAGGCCTGTGCTGTAAATTATTCCATTGCACGAAAGAGACCAGTGCCTTGGCAGAGGTGTACCCCAAGTTATTTCAGATTTTTACAATTTCTCATTATTTCTCATTTCGCATTAAAGCTTTTAAGTGTATCTTGTAGTGTGCCATTGGTACAGCTGAGGTATACACAATGCATACTGCCTTTGTGTCCTTGGGCAAAACACTTCAATGGCCTTCTCTAAATGTATAAAGTGCAAAAAATCTGTGAGTTTTTCAATGTAAAAAGCTTGGAGTAGGCACAAGTGATTCGTTTTTATGTTTTATAGCCAATATTCTTTTTCTAGCTCATAGTTACAAAGTTTGTCTGAGTGTTTGAATGACATTGTACCTTTAATTTGCCCTCCACCGTCCTGCTGTTGGGCTCAAAGATGCCTGGAGTCTGCCTGGCGTCCTCGCACCGGGCCTCCGTGGTGGTGGTGCTGCTCGCCAGAGGAGCTGTTTCTGGAAATGGATGGGCATCAAACACTTTGCCTTTGTGGTTGGCGATCAATGAATCAATATGGCCGCTTTCCACTTTCCTCTCCACGTTTGGTGCGTCTTCTTTCTCCTCGTAGCAGCTCTCCCTTGGCTCCTTCCTGCGCCGGCTGCAAATGGTCGTAATGAGGACGATAGCCAAGAGGAGGAGAGAGCAACTTCCTGCCAGGACGATAATAATGGCCACAGACATGTCCCACTCAAAGTAATCCTCTCTGCTATTCTCAGACACAGAGGAAGGCATGCTGGGTAGACTCCCCTCAATAAAACTCAAGTGGATGACTGCTGTGGAAGTTTGCGCAGGGAAACCATTGTCGCTCACTGCTATTGTGACTTTGACATTGTCTGAAATATCGTACGCAAGCTGCCGGCTCGCGTGCAATTTCCCCGTGTCCTTGTTAATAGAGAAGCCCAGGTGTCCGCCCTCGGTTATTTTATAGGACAGCTGCGCGTTTATGCCTTCATCAGCATCTGTGGCCTTAATGTGGGTTACCAAGTAGCCCGCAGGTGCGTCTTTGGGCAGGAAAACCTCGGCAGATCCCTTGTAAAGCGGGGGCTCGATTATAGAAGGCTGGTTGTCATTTTGGTCCACTATTTTTAGCCGGATGACAGCCGTGCTCTGGAGCTGCGGCGACCCCCCATCACTGGCTTTTACGTGGATGTCTATCTGCTTCATAACTTCATAATTAAAACTTCTCAGCGCGTATATGGAACCAGAGACTGAGTTGAGTGAGACGTACGTGTTGACAGGGGAGCCCATAATGACGCTGTCCACCAGTCTATACGTGATTTTGCCATTTAGCCCCAGGTCTGCGTCAGTGGCTTCCACAGTGGTAATAGAGGCGCCGGGGGCATTGTTCTCCACTACTGACACCTCATAGACAGACTTACTAAAGTGGGGGGCGTTGTCATTCTCGTCCGTCAGCCTAATAGTGTACTGGCTGATTTTTCTCAAAGGGGGCGTCCCAAAATCTTCTGCCATCACAGTCAAGTTATACTCACTGATTCTCTCCCTGTCCAGCGGCGCTGCTGTCACTATCATGTAGCTGTCCTCGTACGCCTGGCGGAGTTTGAAGTGGTCGTGTCCGTAGAGCGTGCAGTGCACTTGGCTGTTCACCCCGGAGTCTCTGTCCGAGGTGCTGACGAGCGCCACGAGGCTGTCCTTCTCCGCCGCCTCGCTGATGTGCGCAATGCCCGTGGTGATGGAGGTCATGGGGGTGATGCTGATTTCTGGGGCATTGTCATTTACATCCGTTATGTGGATTATGATTTTGCACACAGACGGAATGGGGTTTGCGCCCAAATCTGTCGCCTGCACATCAAGCTCATAAGTGCGTTTCTCCTCAAAGTCCACCGGGTTCTTTAGAGTTAGGTGTCCTGATTTATTATCCACTTGGAAAAGTTCTCTTATTTCGTGAGAAACCTTTCCGAATGCGTACACTACTTCCCCATTCAGTCCCTCATCGGCATCAACTGCGTTTAAGTCCAGGATAACGGTGCCCACTGGGGCGTCCTCGGGCAAACTGACAGAGAAGCTGCTCTGGTCAAACACGGGGCTGTTGTCATTAAAGTCAGTCACTTTCACAGTGATTTTGGCGGATCCGGATCTGGGCGGGCTGCCCCCGTCTGTGGCCACCAGCTCCACAGTGTAAGAGGACTGAGTCTCTCTGTCTAGCTCCTTCATTAGCACCAATTCCGCATATTTAACCCCATCCGCTCTCTGGAGCACATCTATGCTGAAGTGACTGTTGACAGAGATCTGATAGCTCTGAATGTAGTTGGAGCCCACGTCCGCGTCTACAGCCGGGTCTAATGGGATCCGGGAGCCCACCACCGCGTTCTCTGAGATCTCCACTATAGACTCCCTGTTTGGAAACTCCGGGGAGTTGTCATTGATGTCCTTTATTTCCACTTCAACGTGAATCAATTTGTAGCGCTCTTTTGAAAAATTGACCACATCAAAAGTAATGAGACACTGTGGAGAGTGTCTGCACAGTCTCTCCCTGTCAATTCGTTCCCCCACACTGAGCTCCCCATCGCTTTCTCTCACCCTGATGAATGAATCGTTGAATTGTTTCATCATCCTGAAATTGGACTTAGAGGAGTGAGACAGACTCAAGGACATGTCCTTGGCCAGGTTTCCGATGACAGAACCCGGTGCGTTCTCCTCGTTAGTCTGATAGCGGATAGTATTTCCCTCAGACGCACTCAGAAACACAAAGAAAAACTGATAAAGAAAAAGGCTGAAAATCCACCGGTTAAGATAAGTGAAAGTCTTCGAGTCCCATCGTGCTGGCGGAGCGGTCCGTCTTGGTGCGCAGCCTCATCCTCTCTGAAAGCCCTGCGCTCACGTCTGGAGCCAGCTCTCCATACAGCCGCCCGCCGCTCTAATCAACTCACAACTGTGCCCAAAGTGAAAGTTACTCGCTCCTTGCGCGCAGCAGCCACTCAGATACGCTTGTTGCCTCGCCTTCAACAGCTCCAAACTCTGCAGTGGCGGGGTTTATACGACTCCTCATGCTAATGAGAAGAAGTGTGACCAATCCCTCGCTTTAGAATTAAAAATACCCCCTCTAAGCCTGTTTTCAGAGTAACTTACAGAATAGAGCGCAGCAGCGATAGGCTCTTGCTTGGAGACACTACCAGCGCCCGGATCACCTTTTTTACAGCTATTTAAGACTCACTGGCTACATTTACCAAAAAAATGTTTTTATTTAGATAGTGCTTTCTACGTGCCCCGGGGTTTACGCACGGGTACCAGCATAGACAGCTCAATTGCTTCTAACTAGCGAGCGTTTATTCGGTTGAGAACATCTTAATTATCGGGTGACATAGTCCATAATGAACTGTCAGCTCGCGTGAGGGAGCGGTGGCCCCATCCATCACTTATTGTCTACAGCAAAGGGCACTTTCTGAAGATGTGGAAAAGCACACACCGTGGACCATATTTCAGGTAACTCTGGGGTTACTGAGGAAACAGGTGAAAACACGTCATCGTGCCTTTTGAGTCTGCATGAAATGTGCAGCCTCCTGGGTTTATAGCACTTTGCTGCTTGTACAATCCAGATCTCACTGTCCTATAAAATATGCATCTACATACGCAGATGCCAGACAGGAGACGTAAAGATGAACGATGAGGTACAGATTTGCTTTTCTTCAGTAGCCCACTATATGTCAATAAATACACTTTGCCCCGCCCCCTGGGTTTATCGGTCAATAAAATACCTCTAAAATGGCTTAATACATTTTTCACAATCAAATCTGAAAACTGAGACCTAAGGACACCTTTAAAAACAACCTGTTAAAGTGCTAGCGAAACCAGTCAGAGTAAACATGTATTGTGCTGTTTCTGACCCTTTCGACCTGATGTAAACTTTGATGATGCTCTTAGAAATGCAGGCCTGTACAATAGCCATCATTTTCACATAATATGTCTGTGCACTTAGATGTATATATAGAAAAGTTATGAATAGCTTTGCTAACATTCAGTCTTGGAGCAGAGCTGAATGAGTCTCCGGAGAATACAGTCCCTAAAGAGGCTGGAGGAGAGCTCTGTCCAAGGTGCTGATCTTTCTCCATCTCACTGACAATGACGTGTCTGAGCTCACAGCTCTGTTAGTAAGTCCATTTACACAACTTTTATGGATTATATAGACAATAGACATTATTATTATTATTTAACCTAATACTATTTTTGTTTGGTTTTTGAGTGAATTCAGTTCAGGCTTATAGGTCTTAAATTAGACCAAATTGACTCTTGTGAGATTTGTTATAATGTTGTTATTGCATCAAAAACATACCTGGAGTTGTGTTTTCTTTCATTTACACATGTTTGAGCCTTTTTTTATTAGTCTGTCTACATCTCCAGAGCTCAAAATGCTCTGTTCCACCTTGTGATGTCACGAAGCAATATTTTTATTTATTTATTTATTTATTTTTTTAACTTAAAACACCTTTTACCTTTAGTTCAGCAGAAATGGGCAATTCCAGATCTAAAATTTTCCAAATGATTCTAGTGAAGGTGTATGGAGTATAAAAAAACAAACAAACAAACAAACAAACAAACAAACAAACAAAAAAAAACATACTGAAGCCCTTCCTGTATTACCACTAAATGACATCACGAGGTGGAAGACAGTGTTATAAATTTGAGAGAAGAGCACAGCCTAAATATGCAGGATTGGTGTGTTAAACATGTGAATGAAACCAAACACAACTCCAGGTATGTTTGTGATGAGGAAATGACATTATAACATAGATCAGAAAATAGTGTAACATGGACCCTTTAATTTATGAACTCAAGGTGAATATAGAAAAAAATAAGAAATTAATCTATTTAAACTGTCTCATATTTTCACGCTAGTAGTTCCATTCATATTTTATGGATTGGAGAAATCCGTTGTTTCATGCTCGAAGATTGTATTTTTATGCAATGCTTTATCTGCACAAGAACACTATGAGGCCAGCCCAGGGACATTTGTTTCTGTCATCCCATTGTTCTTAATATGCTTTTGTGTACGGGCTCAAGGATTTTTGTTAAGTGACTACAATCCACTGTACACATTAAAATTGTATATACATTCTGATTTCTCCAAACCATAATCTGTAAAAAAAAAAAAAAAAAAATACATTTGGCATTTAATCTTTAACTTCTCTGCGGTCGTGACCTCAAGGCAAGTCTGTTAACCTATGGATGAACTTGAAATGGCGCCCTAAGATAAGCCCTGTGTCCAGACCTGTAAACCAGATGTCGCTAATGCTTTTGTGGCTATAGGAGCAAGAGGGTCAAGTCACTTACAAGGGTTTTAACATGGAAAATAGGTTTAGTCATGCAGGGTATTAACCAGACCCAACCCCAATAAAAATGCAAATACCAGCAATAATCTTTGAATGTTATTTAAAGCTGGACTACGCAACTTTCGTGTTAAAGGGATCGCCAGCTGCTCGTCTTCATATTACACTATTTTCTATCTGTCTTATCAACTTTGTAATGTTTCCTCATCAAAAACATACTTGGAGTTGTATTTTGTTTCATTCATGCACATTTAAAACACAAACCCTGAGTTCTTCTCTCAAACAGAAAACACATCATGGAACATACAGTAGCATATACAGCATTAAAGGTCCTGTATTATGCAAAAAATACTGTTATAATGTTGTTACTGCCTCTAAAACATACCTGGAAATGTGTTTTGTATCATTCACAGATGTTTAAGTAACCTTTTTGTATTAGTTTGTACATCGCCAAAGCTCAAAATGCTCTGTTCCACATTGTGATGTCATGTGGTAATACAGGAAGAGCTCCACTGTGTTTTTAAACTCTGTACACCTTCACTAGAATCATTTGGATCATTTCAGCTCTGGACTTGCATATCTCTACTGAACAAAACATAAAAGGTAACTGTTAACTTGAAAACTACCACTACATGACATCACAAGGTGGAACAGAGCATTTTGAGCTTTGGCGATGTACAAACTAATAAGAAAGTGTTACTTAAACATGTGAGAATGACGCAAAACACATCCCCAGGTATGCTTTAGAGGAGGTAACAACATTATAACAGTCATTTTTGCGTAATACAGGACCTTTGACTTTGAGAAGTCTATATGTTCTTTGGTAATTTCGGACATTAGAAAAAAGGAGTGGTGTTAAATAAGTATTTACTTCCTCCCACTCCTTTTTTGGACACAAGTAAAAACTGCATGACATTTATTTTTGTTTATTATTATCGAAAAGAAAAATTTACTTTTTGTGTTATATCTATGAATATACATTTTCTGTGCATGTTCTAAGCATTACTGTCCGAATAAACAATCATTCATTCATTCTTAAATGGTATATATGCTATGTTCCACAATATGGCATTAAACATACTGTATCTCTCTCCATGTAGCTACAGTATCTCTCTTCATGTAGATATACTGATGATGCCATCCGGGTAAGTTACCGCTTTTTTATTGCATTTATTGCGTTTAACAACATACTGTGGAACATTTCATCATCCCCATGGAGACAAGCAGTTGTGTAGTGCACTTTTAAATATTTTCGAACACAGTACAGTACAACAGTATAAAGGCAAGGCTAACCCACTCATTTTTGTTGCCCCCTTTGAGCTTCTATTACATTCAATAGCTATAGTTTCTCATAAAATATTTAACAGTCTCTGCATTTATATCTTCTTTCTTTTATCAGTTACCACAGCAGTTCCTCTCACTCACTCATTGAACATTACATTTTTTATGTCATTGCCTGAGAGATGGCACCACTACCATAATACACTTTTGGTCACCCCAGACTTGATATGTGGTCTTTTTATTGTATTCTTTCTCTCTTATATAACAAAATAATGCTGAGATTTGCAAAGATCATTCTGTTTTACACCATGTTCCAACTTTCTTGATACACACTTTTTATAGCCTATAGAAAGTACTTTTACAGTACAGCCAGTCATGACGCCAACGCTAGTGCAGCCTCTGCAGCTCAGTGAGTGAATTCTGAAGGTTCTGAGCTTTCACATGAGAATAAGATAAAACTTGTATGTGTCCTCTGGCAATCCCTGCTCAGTTGTGATAGATCTTTAAAAAAAAAAATAAATCAGTAACAATAGCAACCTACATACCCTAGATTTTCAAGAAAACCGATTGTAAATGGAAAAACTGATGAAAAAATATAGTAAAAGAAGTTTCAACCAAAATATACATAGGCTATTTTGCATATAAGGCTATTAAGCAAACCGCAACTTTCAAATTAATTTATGAAAGAAAATAGAAAACTGATCAAACATTTATAACACCTTTACCATAATACACTTTTTTCTGTGGTATTTGTATTTTATTTTCTTTCTCTCTTATATAAAAATAATGCTGAGATTTGCAATAGATCATTCTGTTTTACACATATTTTACACCATGTTCCAACTTTCCTGGTACAGTACACACTTTTTATAGCCTATACAAAGTACTTTTACAGTAGAATGCACAAGCCAATCATGAATCAGTGCTAGTGCAGCCTCTGCAGCTCAGTGGGTGAATTCTGAAGGTTCTGAGCTTTCACATGAGAATGAGATAAAACTTGTATGTGTCCTCTGGCAACCCATGCTCAGTTGTGATAGATCTTTAAAAAAAAAAAAAAAAAAAAAATCAGTAACAGTAGCAACCTACATACTCTAGATTTTCACCAAAACAGATTGTAAATGGCGAAACAGATGAAAAATATATAGTAAAAGAACTTTCAACCAAATATATATATAGGCTATTTTGCATATGAAGCCACCAACCACAACATTAAAATTCATGTATGAAAGAAAATAGAAAACTGATCAAACATTTTTTTAAATATACTTTTGTTATTGCCTGAATCATGGCACCTGTACCATAATACACTTTTTTTCTGTGGTATTTGTATTTTATTCTTTCTTTCTTATATAAAAAAATAATGCTGAGATTTGCAAAGATCATTCTGTTTTACACACATTTTACACCATGTTCCAACTTTCCTGGTACACACTTTTTATAGCCT